CGGCGCTGAGGCGGCCTGCGGGCGGGTCCTCTGGGCCGGGAGAGGCCCCGTTTCTCCCCTTTCTCCCGCTTCCCCCTTTAAAAGCCAGTTTTACTTACTCGGTTGAGTAGAGGCGGCAGCGAAGACTCTGGCGTTTTTACCAGCGAAGGATTTTTTTTTTTTTTTTTTTTCACGTTGGAGCTAAAACTGTTCTAAAATCTGTATTACGCGGTGGAAGCTGTAGCCGCGGTATTTTGCCTCTAACTTTCACAAGCCGTTAGTTTTACTCTTATTGCAGCTGCGTAATCTTCTCTTTTTAATATTTCAAAGTTACGTGTCCTGCCCGCGTTGCACGAAAAGAAACACACAATCACCACGTTCGTTATTTTAAAACTGCTTCTTAATCTGTGCCAGCGTGGAGCTGTGAGTTCCCGTTTTTGCAGTTTGGTTCTGTACAGCTGTGACTGTCCTTGTCTCGGAACTCTGCCATTACTGCATGTAGGTTGCCAATGAAAGCTGTGAAAAGAAGGGAATGTGCGTGTTCTGGGCTTAAATCGGATAATTGGCTCAAAGGTCTTTGCCTCTGATAAAAGCAGCCCCAGATCCCTTCAGGCTAGAAGTTGTGTGTTTCAATCAGGTTGTTGTCACGATTACTCAAGAAGCTGGAGTTTTTTTAAAACCTGGTGACGCTTGATTTTTTACATTTGTTCTCTTTTGTTCCTTTTTTGTTTGTCAGGTATTGATAATATATCAATATATTGTTGATATATTAATATATATAAAGATATTGAGAATATATCAGTATATTGATATGCTGAGCAGCCTATGCTTGCTTTTGCCACAACTTCATTTTTAATTTTTTTTTTGGTACTTTAATGTTGGGGCAATTGCTGGAATTCTTATGTAAGGATTTTATCTCAGATTCATTGAGAATTCTGTAAGTGATACTAAATTTTCACTAAAGGGGTTATATGTGAACTCCTGGGTTGAGGTACAGTGCATGATTTTACTACTTCTGTACAACCATCGAGGTTAGGCAGATACCAGTGCCTCAGGCCGACCTATTTTTTTTTGGCCGACCTATTTTTTTTTGCCCCTGAGAGCAAAAAGGGAAGGTGGCTTCTTGTCCTTGATATTTGTGCTTCAAGGAATGGGAGTTTGAGTTTGGTTTTTGGATTTTTGTTTTTTTGAGTTGCGGTTGAAAGATAAGGGGAAGAATGGAAAAAGAAGAGAAAAATTAATCAACTTCATACATTAGGGCAAATATCAGCCTTCACGAAAGTATGATTAAGGGTTTTTTTCCCTTTTATTTTTCCTTTCCCCAGTTTTGACAGGATGACTGTAACAGTAACAAGCAAACTGAGAAACCACAGATGAGAAAAAAAAGACAAAACCTCTAGTTAATCTTTAGCTCTGCTCCCCCCCCTCCCCCTTTCTGTATTGAGCACTAATATGGGATTTGATCTTCCCAGATGCATTTTTAGTTAAGACCTTTGAGAAAGACAGTAAAGCAAGACAATGGAAGATGAAATGTGATAATCTTTTTCCCTTCCAACTTGCAGATGGAATTTGCTTATGAGAGATCTGGTGTCTACAGATAAAGTTGAGTTCTTCACCTAGAGAAAGGAATAAGCTTAATATCTTTCCTTACTTAAAGTAAATGCAGAATATTGCCTAGAGAGAAGAATGTCAGCTCTACTTTTTGGTATCAACTGAATATCTGTAAGACAGGCAGACTGAAGGCACAGCTCAATCAGAAAGTTTTACTAAACCAATTGGTTTAGTAGTACATGGTTAATATGAATTTAAGAAATGAAATCCTAAAGTGAATTTTGGAAACAGAAAGTAGAACAGTTAATCTTTCATACTACCGAGTAAACGTTTTGTGTGTGTGTGTGTGTGTATGTGGTACTTCAGAACCAGATGTATCTGTCCCATAAACTTAGCTGATGTAGAAGACCATTGCAGTGTAGCTTGAACAGTGCATTTAAGGAGAGATTCTTCTTGCACTTTTACTGGTTAGTTTTGTTCTGTTTAAAATGTAAATATGAAACCTTTGGAAAATGTCTGCATGCCAGTATTTTGATTATATGGAGTTTTCAGTACCAGTAGTTCTGTCATGACTGGTATTTGTTTGTGAAAATACGGTGGTTCCTTACTTATGCTCTTGCATATGTCTTTATATACAAATCTCAAATATTTAAAGCATTTGGATTTACTGTTTCTGCTGGTGACATTTAGATAGTTTTCAAACACTATAAATGGTGGTGAATGGCAGCAAAAACCAAACCTCTTGTTTAACACAGCAGACTGGATTTATTTTTCCTAAACAGAGGTTATCAATAATGAATTATACTTTATTTTTTTATGTTGTTGTTGGATTTTTTTCTTATTTTTATTTTTTTGTTTTGGTTTGTGTTGTTTTTTTTTTCTGTGAGGGATACTTACAGAAATGTTAAATAGGACTCGTAAAAACTCTGTATGTGTATTCACGTAACAAAGTCTTGCCATATTCAGGAATTACGTTCTAGACACTTGTCTCCGAGTGGCGCTTTCTGAAGTTATGTTTTTCTAGGCTTATTTCAAAAGCTTCCTCTGCTGCTAACCTCTTTTGAGTGTAGTAGCGTATGCCGTTGGTTTAGTAGTTGCCCTACTAAAGCTGTCTAGTTTTAGACTTGTTTGAAATTTAGGCTCACATGAAATATTTGTACTGAACATGGCTGTTCAGGTAACTGGTAGCTGTAGTTTAAATAAATTTGCAACTGCTTGGAGGAAAGTGAATGGAGTTGTGAACGTCTTCATGTCTTTTCTGGCTGTGTGTTTCATTCTCAAATGTTCAAAAATCACAGGAAGTAATATTTTACTGATGCATATTTTTCAGAATGAAAGTGCGTTTCAGATTTTTGCCTTTTCAGTGACAGAACAGTTTTGCAGTGAAAAAATGAAAGAATGAGGAAATATATTCTACAGTTATTAATGGTTAGTGGCGTTCACGTTTTTATCTTGGCTAATGAAAGTATGTGAAAAGTCTTTGTTTAAGCAAACATTATTAAAGATTGTTCATGTATTTCCTTGGCTGTGAAACGGCTGATCCGGTCATTGTGGTGTTTCATTATAGTGCTGTAATGATGAGTCTGTAAATACAAATAAGGAAAAACTTCCATTTGAAGCAAGTTTTTCCATATCTTTTGATCCATCAGATCCCTTACGTTTTTCCCAAAAGAAATCCTATGACCTAGTTCTTGTGTGCTGTTTCTCTACACATAAATGAACATTTTCAGGAAGTTTGACATCTATATAGTCTAGTTTTGAGTTTGAGGAGTCTCTTGGTTACGTTTAATCAATATTCCATCTGAAAAGCAGTGGAAGAAATTTAACCTACAAATACTGATCTGTCTGCAATAAGCATGTAATCTGGATAATTTTAAAACTATGTTGTAACAGTTCTGCAATGGGCAGAAACACGGTTTCAGAGTAATTGTCCTGATGCTCAGTCAGTTATCATTATAACAGCATGAAGGATGTGCTGGTTTGGCCAGGGCTTCAGTTTCACAAGCAGCTAGGTCAACGTAATGTACCCTTACTATTTCTGAAAAGGAAGAGGGCTTGGCTGCCTTCTCCTTTTTCACCCCCTCTTCCCTGGCCACACAGTTCCTCTGGTGCTTGTCAGACTGTTTCATGGATGGCTCCAACTTATTAACCCCCCACAAAGCTCTCCGCTTCTTTTTCAGGAATAAATCTTTTGCCAAATTGGCGAGGTGAATTGCCTCGCGGTGGAAGCGTCCGGCCACCAAAGCTAGGGCAAGGTGAGCAGCAGGGCTTCTGGGAATGGATGCCGCGAGTAGAGCCAGACCTCTCCGGTTTGGTGGCCGCAGGCTGTTAGAGTCGCTCATGCTGTAACCTGATACAACAAACCATAGCGCTGTTGTAACTCTGCACATGATTGATTGCCTGAGCAGTAACGTGAATATGAAACATTGAAAGGTTTCCCGTTGGAACTGCCATTTCTTTACTTAAAAGTTGCTGTTAATAAGGATGTGCATTTGTTGGAAAATGCTTTCTGTGCATTCTTGATTTGCTACGTATGCTACGTAGCTAAGATTTTTATCTTCTGTTTTTTAAGTTAAAGCAGTCTCTTCTGCTAAGAAATACAATTTAGTGTAGGTCCTGGATATAGGAAGAATTACATTCACCTTACTCAGGTTGGTTGTGTTGTGCGACTGGATTGAATCTGAAGTATTCAAAAACAGTCAAGTATCTGTCACAATGCTGTGTAATTCATATTTCTCACAGAAAAGTAGGAGACATTCCTAAAATTCTTAGAAAGCAGTGATTATATTCTAGATACTTTCAATGGTAGGTCTCATTTTTTTCCTACATCTAGATGCAGACAATAACTGGAAATAAAATGCTGAACTTCTTGGGAGTCACTATGGGAAAATTGAGACGTTACAGACATTCACAAAGTTGTTTAAAATATGAATATAATGTTAATATCTAAGGAAGTTGACAAAAATTATGTTTCAAGTGCAAGAAAAAAGAGTACATTTTTGTGAAATTAAAATTTACGAGATCAGCATTTATATCTATTGTCTCCTTTAGCTTTAGGCTTTTCTAAATACCATCTGAATAATTTAGGTGTTATCATTTGAGTGCCTGAGAGCATTGGCTTGCGTACCACTGACTCCCTTTTCTCCTACCTTCTAAGCATCTTAATATATCACTTATTAACGTATAGGGGCACATAAACATTTTCTACATTGGATGTGTTCAAATATTTGCCCCTTTGTTTGACCTTCATGATTTACATCTCTTCCTGTAATGTTTCTAGGTAATTCGTCTCGGGGCCACCCCTGTTAGCCTGAGCTTGCTTTCTATCCAGGTTTATGCTTCCTCTTCAGAGAAGGAGACTTCCAAAAAGGAGTTGCTGAAAATTGAGGAGGTAAGTATAGTTAGAACCCTAGTGCTCTTCTGTCTGTATGGAAATATCCACGGAATTCTGAAAGTCATTGTATTTCGATGCATGAAAGCATTTAGGTACATCACTTCACCTTTTGCATTCTTTCCTTTAAATTTGCTTCTCTATTTTCAGTAATGGAGATCTTGATATGGTTTTGCCTCTTTTACCCGAGGGTTGCATTTGACGTTTTCCACTTGATAGCATCAGGCTTGCCTGTGTGCAGTATCTTTTTCCTACATTAAAGCCGCCCGTTCTTCATTCAGAAGTGACCTTTTCATGTTTGTAGATTTACTTGTGGTCACGGTTCAGATCCCCAGGGATATTTTCTTTGCTTTTTATCCAGGTAACACCATGTATTTTTTATTACAAGCACTGTTGGCAGATTCTAATAAAATTTCATTTATGTACTCCAGTAAAACAGCAAATCAAAAGTTTTTATTTCTAAAAATATTCTCTTTTTTAACAGGCAAAATTCTTGTCTGGCAATGCTTTGAATCTGATATGGTAGCCTGCAGAATTTTATTGATTTTCCTTTCTTTATAGCTTTCAGACCTAAGCAACAACAAATACAATAAGTAGTGATAATAAAAACCCGTTATTTTATTGTTTTTCTAAGATGTTACAAATGTCTTGGTTATATCAGAGCCAGAGCTTTAAAACACCCTGTCAAACAGTATACTCACCAGCATTGTTGCATAAGCTTTTCACAGTCTCCATCAATAAAGAAAAATAAAATTATAGTTCATAACTAAATACACCTTTATATCCAGGAGAGTTTGTAAATGTTTAAAAATTTTAAGTACTTCAGCCCAAGTGAAAGTGATGTTATGTGAGCAGTGAAACTAAACGAAACTTATTTTTGAGTATGCTTAGGTCTTTTGCATGTGTCTGCATGGGTAGTTCCCTTGCATAATACGAGAGGATCGATAGTTGGAGCAGTCTCCTGGCTTCATCCCAGTGAAGTCACCTTAGCTTGGGCCATCGCGTGCCCTACACTACTGCTGGCATGAGTCAGTAATGAGGCATCAGTTTGAAGTTACATACGTGCTGAATAATTGGCTTGCCCATCAGCGCCAGCCAAGCAGAATGCGCAAGCCGTGGAGTTTTGGCTGCCTTTCTTACCATTCACAGCGTACGTTAGTTTGGATCTCTACTGTCAGCTGTCTAGTTTCATAGAATGCTTGGGAATTTCCTTATCTCTGAGTCTTCTGTCCTTGTGCCAGACATGGCTGTTAGGTTGTCCAACAGGATCAAAGTTAAACCGATTGTGACTATGATTGCCAGAGATGACCGGATTTCTTAGGGAAATGAGACTTAAAAAGCTTGTCTTTCAAAGTATTATGGGAAATCCAGTTGCACGAGTTATCAAATTATTTGACACATTCTATGTCATTATATATTTTTTTATTGTGTATTTTTTTATTATGACAGACATACAGTTGTTTTCCAACCTGTCTTGAAAAGTGGGCTAGCTATGCTTCGATGCAACAATAGGTGTAAACATCAGTTTATAATAAACTACTAAATGTAGCATAAATGTGGCATAAAATACAAGCTCTTTATACTACACATCAGTGTATCATAAACTGCTAGGAATTTTAATGGGTTTTGTTTTGATCTAAACTTTGCTGTTCATCTTCAACAGTGTAGACTTTGGTCATCTTTTTTTTTAATAGAATACAATTTTAAATATGTTTAGGTAATTGTAATAAATATATTGTGATGCTAAACCATAAATGTGGTGGTTTAGTATTTATTCTATGAAGATGCCCATTGCTCTTCAGGTGGATGTTACAGTTCTTACTTGCTCGGCCCCATGGTGCTATTAATGCTGTCGGTTGCTGGTGTGGTTAATGACAGCAACATTGGTATGTCATACCATTTTCTTGCACAGTAACAGACAGACAAATTTGTATCAGATGTTACCTTTGTTAGAAGCTACTTAGACTCTTTAATGATGGCTTGTGCAAATATAGAAAATGATTGATTGTGATTTCAGAGTTCTAGTACATTTAGTATGTTAACTGGGAACCAGAAGTGCTGATTAAGACCAGAAACATTTTTCACAATTATATTTTGTGTTCTTATTAAACTAGTTTAATATTAATTTATAACCTGTGACCTGGATCATATAGCAGCTATGGATGAATTGCATAGCAATTAGAAGTCATCTTCATCATAGTATATAATTAAACTTTGCTCATAATGGTTGTCTCACAATTGTGCCTGAATTTTTATTATGCATTGTTTATGTACTAAGCACAGTGTTAGGTGTTCTCTGGATAGACTGTTCATGCCCTGAAGACCTACTTACACAATTACACCTTTGTTTTTAACCTCTTGTTTGCTAATATTCACAGCTGTCACTCTACTCCTCTCCAGCTCATGAGACTAAATATGTGGAGGATCCACAAACCCAATTGGAAGAGGGTGTTTCACGTTTACGGCATGTTATGGAGCCATACACAGCCTGGTGTCAGGTATAATGGTTTTATAACACATCTGGTAGCGGGTCAGTGCTAAGGGTTGAACTGGGATTTTGTTTTTAGACACAAAATTAGTAGAGAGCAGCAAAGTAAAAGTTAGTAGCTGTACAAGCATTTTTCCAAAATGCTGTGTGACTTAAAATTTTCCACATTTACCCCCTCCAGCTGCTTCTTTCTACTAATTTGCTGAACTAACCCCCTCCTTTTCCACACTTTTTATCCATCCAAAAAAAGTGAAGGCAAATTAACTAAACTTTAGAATCATTATCTGAAATAATCTTCAAGCTTAAAGATATCTGGGGATATCTGGATTTGGTGCTGTCCTGTGACTGAGGAAGACGGGAGAGTGATTAAATTTGCGGTTTCCATGCTCAGGGAGAATGCCATAAGTTAGCAAGCAGTATGTTTTGGAGCAGCAATACCGAGTTGTTGTCACTGCAACTGTGACACAACATGATGCTGCAGAAAATAAATCAGCTTTTGCCGAACTGGAACGTACATGAAAGGTACATGGCTCTCCAGAAGAGAGAAAATCCCAGGCCACTTCTCAATGGGAAACCTGGCCCCTGGACATTACCCCAGAACTCTCTTATGTTTTATTAGGTAGCGTGTTTATACTAAATAGTCACTAAATAGAAAGATAGTCTTTGGAGCATAGAGGAAAACCAAGATCTTTGTAATTGAGGCCTAAATTATTGATACTAGATTGCAGAGTCATATGGTGTCTTTCTTGCTCTTTCGACCCAGCAGATGTTGAGGCTTACTTTTGATGCAAGAGCATCCGTGTCATCTGGTTGTCTCTTGGCAATTTTGTGTGATCCTCTACTTTGCAGTCTGGCTGTTGCGAATCCTTTCAAGCTGCAAGCTGGTTTTCCAGTTCTCCATAGAAAGCCAAGCTGTTCAGATCAGGGTGTCCTTTCTGCCTAGAAGTTCTGTGTTGTGGTACTAACCTTTAACAGTACCAAAACACTTTTTTGGAAATACTCAGGATTACTCAGTCAAACGATGCGTTTCTAAAGTGCCACCAGCAGGAGCACTGACTTCAATTTTGAAGGAAAAGGGGGATTTTCCACACTATAGTTAGAGCTCTGACCTCCTAAATACATGGGTTCTGCTTGGTTGCCTGCGGTAACCATAACCGAGAATGAAATTTGAGATGAGGTTAGTTGCCCAGTCGGACTGGCTGCAGGTAAGCCTTGGGCAACGGTTTATGTCTCACTGGCCTGTTGTCTTCCTATTTGCTTTATTTTTTTGTCTGCATGGTGATCATTTACATAAGATGTGCTCTTCTGCTCACACACAACAAGCCATTTCCTGGCAGTGGTTCACTGACTCATTTTGTGAAGTGGACATGTCAGCTTCATGGGTTTGGGGTCATCTTGCTTGCTTAACTGTAGTCAGAGATAGTTTTGGTTTTGCACCACCTCCACCCCCTGCTGTGTTAACGAAAATAACATTTTAGGTGTCTCAGTTGTCTTCAAAATTAAAAACATAACTCAGGATAATGAGAATAAAGTTGGTTATGTTTTTATATCCATTTTACTTTTTCAAAATTGCTTGCTTAACTGTAGTGGAAGGTCAGTGCAAAACAAAGATGTAGAAATGAGCCAGTTATGTGTAAGCAGTGATAGAAGATTAGACGGTCTCTGGGGTCTTTAGAACATGCTCTTTTTTCATTGGCTTTTAATAAGACCAATATCCATTTAGAGTTATGTTGTCTGTCACATGCTAACACTTTCTTTTTCATGACAAGTTTGTTTTTTTTTTTTAAGTCGCTCTTGCCAGTGAGGAAATGAAAGTTCTAAAGATATTCTTCCCTGTGCAGTATCCCAAACAAACGCTTTCACTTCTGCACAGATAGAGCTCAACTTGTATTGCGAGACCCTTCTCTGCTTTAGCTTTGGGTATAGATGTTTATGAATTTGTTCCCTAATTGGTAGACAGTCTCACACTGTTTCTCCAAAGTATTTTTAGTATAATAACAGTTAGCAGGGTTGCTCTTATTAAGGTTGGGGTTTTTTCTACTTTGATAAAAGGCAGTGTGAATTCTTTTACTTCCTGCGTATTTTCAGTCTGAGAAGAATATCTAGAGCTAGTTTGTGGGGCTGATGCAGTGCTCTTTGATTTGCTTTGAACACTGTGTGGACATCTTATTTTCCAAGTCACTTCAAATGCAGTTGTTTTAGCCTAAGATATTCTCTTGGAAAGTGGAATTTATCACCTTGCAGAATGAGTCATGTACCCCTGCAAAGTGCTAGGAAGAAGTTTATTATAGTGTTGTCTTCCCTTCCTTTGCATCAACTCAAGTGTTTTTGCGATACCTACATACACTGAGAAACCTGAGATAATCCTGAGTTACAGGTACCAGATCAGGAACTCAGTGAAATATTGAAGTTGACTTCTGTGTTTTGAGGTATTGTATTTCATTTGTATCCAAAGACGCTTTTGAGAAAAAGCTGTACAGTATGCCAAGTGTAATATTGAGCAAACATAGTGCTATAAGTGAATGTGGAAATGGGAATAAAAATAAGTTATTTTAGGGACTCAACACTTTTTTTTTTCCTTCTTTTCTTTTTCTTTTCTTCGTCAGGTTATTTACAATCTGTAGTTAACATTTTGCTAACTTGGTATCTATTCACTGTTGTTTTCTTTTCTTTTTTTTGTTTTTTAGGATCTTTATGCCAAAGCTATGCCCAAATTAGAAAAAGCTGTTGAGCATGGTAGAGGTAAATCCGTTTAGTTTTCTTAACTAGCACTTTAAAATGCAGGAGTATACAATATTTTCTGTTAAAAGGGAATTCCATTAAGCATTATTATATATATAATTTCTAATGCATTTAGGACTACTTTATTTGCGCTGTATATCTGTTTAAATCTCCTTTGTGGGTCGTTATGACACTACATTTCTAAACAATTAAAATCCGAGACCTGCATCTGTGTTGACCAGTGTTGCTAAAAATAACCGTTATGAAGGAAAGGAAGGAAAAAAAGCCTCACTATTTATTCCCAGTCGGTAGCATTTGCTTAACCCAGCCTTGTAGCTGAACCTTCCTGCAATGTTTATTTCTTATTGCAAGTGTTAGGTCTTCTGTTTGTAATGTTTAGCATTTTGATTTTTATTTACTTCCTTGGATCTCCTAAGAATTTTGAATTAATCCAAAATAATTTTTTTTTTGTTTTGTTTTGGAAGCATCCTTTCATACCTGGGCTCATCAGGACTGAGCATGCATTTCAGATACTGCACCTCTTTTCCTTAAACTTAATAGTCACGGTCTTTTGAACTCCTTTGTATGAAAGGTTTTTCATAGTTTTCCATTCCCCCATTGGACTCCCATCTTGGTGTGAACTTTGTTTATGCTCTGTCTTTCCTTTGGTCTGTGATTTGTTTTTTTTTTGTACAGTGTTTCACTGAAACTAATTCTTGTTAACGTGTAAATGTAAGAATCCATTTGCAAAGGTTTTTATCACTAGTCTTGAAAAAGATATAATGGAGATGCAAAAGAACAAAACAAAACAGATGGCCCAGGAGCAAAGGCAAAAGCTTCTATGAAAATTGGTAAATACAATACAATGTTCAGTTTCATTCATGTGTCACTAGAGAAGATCTCAAAGGCTTTGAATTTTGTGCCAGCAGATCTAAAATGCGCATGATAGTTAAATGTGTTTTGATAACTCTTTATGTTTTCTAACAATTGCCAGCATGTATTGATGATTCCTTATCACAAAAACACTTTCACATAACATTAAAGCACTTTGTTCTGACTTCTTTTCAGAGGGCTGTGAATTTCTCCAAAACCCCCCTGCTGGATTTTATCCAAGGCTTGGTGTGATAGGTTTTGCTGGAATTGTTGGATTGTTTCTTGCTAGAGGTAAGTGGGAACCTTTTGAACTGCTTATGTTATCATTTAAGATAAGTAATTTATTTGTGGCTTTTTTAATACTATTTTTTTAATTGTGACGCATGAGATCTGACTTAGCATGTTTCTACAACGTTCCTCCAATTATAAAGAAATTTAAGCTAAAAGGTGTGTAATAACCATCATTTGTTGTTTATGAATACTGTATTTGTTACAGGAATCTAGTCTTTGATCTTTTCCAGTTCTAGCTTATTATAGCAAAAGTAGGAAAGGGGGTTTTTTAAGCCTAAAAATCTTTTTAATTACTTCAGTTCTTGATCACTTACGTCAATGTAGTAAACTACGGAGGAATAAATTAGGGCAAAATACAGAGGTTGCTGAAATGCGATACATGTGCAATTAGCTGTATATTCAGGCTCCTCAAGTGTTGTGTGTCCAGGCACAGAGCTGCTGTAGATGGTGATATTCAGCAAAAGTACTTGTGAACTCTCTGCGTACTATAAATACATGCATGTTTTGTGCTGTAGGAATGTGATACATTAATTTCATCACACTAGCTGAAGGAACTAATACGTTTATGCTTTCATAGAAGTAAATGTTATTTTAAGAAATGTTAATTGTGAACAAGTATTTTGTGTTTCTATTGAGATATTCTTAATACAGTGAAATGAAGTAATGCATGAAGATGACTTGTAGGTAATTGAGTTGTAAAGTTCTAGAATTTAAATACTAGTAAGGACTTGCTTTGGATAAAAATACACCTTTGTGAGGCCTGTATATGTTGAACAAACTGGAAGTGTGTGCTTGGCTGTGTAGAAATGGAAAGCATTCTGTGAATATATGCACTTATATATCCACTCCTCAAAATATTTGATTTTCCAGTGAAGATGAATACAGCAGTACTTTTTGTTTTCTAGCATATTTTTTAAATTAAAATCAAGGTCTCCAACTTTACCCATTTGAAGTTCTTTATATTCAAATTCTTGCTTCTTGAGTTATGTGATTATGAATGAGATCGGTTTCCAGCCTTTACGACTGTTAGCAGAATTGGGCAGGGAGGAGGTGTGCAGTCTTGTGGCTGGATCTGAAAGATTAAAGGGTCCTAAGTTTAACAAAAATCCCTCATAATACAAATGTCTGATTTGTGAATCTTTCAGGATGGGAGTCATAATTTTAAAACTTTTTGTCTGGTTAGTTTACAATGCTTTCTGGAAATAACAGTCAGTATTCGAACTGTAGAAGGAAGTTCCCCTTAATTTTGATGCTACAGAAAGTTAAAATCAAATTTCCTCTTTTTTTATCCCTTCCTTCTTGGTCTCACTAGAAAAAATTGCCCTCTTGGAAGGCATAGATAAAATCTTCCAGGTCTAACCATAACACTTGAAGACACAGCTGCCCACTAAGTAGAAATTAATGGTATTCAGAGTTTATTCGTGTATGTATTGAACAGTCATCCAGTTTTGTTCAAAATGCTGTTGAAGATAGTTTGTTCTAACCTTGAGTATTACTGAAATGGGTATGGGAATATTCCTAAACTTCCCTCTAGTGAGTATCTCCATCCTGCTGGAAGGCATGAATATCTTCCACTCTTATTTTTATTCATAAAGTGATATTGTAGGTGCACCGATAATTTAACGCTAAGGAAGATTTCCCTATTCCCAGAAATTACTACAGAAGTGTAATTTTTCTGGTTGTAAGGATGCAATGAAGCTTGCCTTTTCTGGTCCTTCTTACAGTTAATTGATACCAAGTTCCTCTTCCACAAGACTAGCAACATCACTTCACGAGTGTCTCTTGTTTACTGCTAAGTTTCTCATCTCATCATGAGCATGTGTTAGCGGAAACACTAAACACTTCTAATATGCATTTCCTCTTCAAAATTCATTATTCCTTTATTAGAAGCACATGTGGCTTCACCTATAGAACAGGCTGTTCTATGACAAACGGAACTCCTGCGTCCTGACTCCTGTACGTCTGTTCTATGACCATTTTTCCCCTGTACTGCTTGCTTTTCTCCTTTACCTGCTCCCTTCTGTGTTCCTTTCTGGCTGGATAAACTGTGGCATGCCCTGTAACTGATTCAGTGATGCATATTGTCACTGGCCACCCAGTCAAATTGATTAAAATGTTCAAAATTTACTATGGGATTGAACGATAGATGTATAGCATAATTCTGAGTACTTTAGTTTAAAAGTACTTTCAAATGCTTTGTGAATTGTTACAGTGAATCAAGAAAAATTGTTAATAAGAGCAGTTGTGGAAGAATCAATATTTGTGAGTGAAGGTAACTTTAAAATTTGCATTGAAAAATCTCTTGTTCCTCTTGATGTATCAAAGGAATGCTATCTTAACCTTTCTTTGCCTGATTTTTTCCTTTTAGCTTAGAAAAGAGTAACAGTTGGTATAATTCTCTTAAATATTTTTTAACTGTGGCTTTTACTTCATTATTCAGTACTGAAATAAATTATGTGTTACTGCAATAAATATAGTTGTAAGGTAATTTTCACTATGGAAAGATGTTAATAGAAATATTCTCTTAAAAAGGGTAAAAGAATAATTGCTGATCAGAGTAATCATGTTTCTTAAGAAACCAGTAGGACAGAACAGAAAATATGCTAAATTGCATTTAATAAAATTGTTTTGATTCTAAGTAAAAGGGTAGGGCCATTCAGCTGTCTTGGTTAACGTATAGCCTAATAATATTTTGGTGGGGTTTTTTTGTTTTTTGTTACGAAACAGGCTCAAAAATAAAGAAGTTAGTGTATCCCGCAGGTCTCATGGGTGTTGGTGCCTCCATGTATTACCCTCAGCAAGCGGTTGCTATTGCAAAGGTCAGTGATGATACCTTTCTTTGGAGAAGTGTCTTTTACTTTGATTATTGCCTCTTACTTTCAAATTAACTGGTAATCTGCTTTTAAAAGCCATGTGATTGTGCTTGGCACTTAACAAGATGATAGATATTTTGTCAAAGAACATGCAGGCTAGCCCGAAAAATGGGCAGATATTCTGTTTCTTTCATTGACTTTTTTTTTTTCTAACATCATAGAATCATGGAACGGTTTAAGTTGGAAGGAACCTTAAAGATCATCGAGTTCCACCCCTCCTGCCATAGACAGGGACACCTCCCACTAGACCAGGTTGCTCAAAGTCCCATCCAGCCTGGCCTTGAACCCCTCCGGGGATGGGGCTTCTACCACTCCCCTGGCCAGCCTGTTCCAGTGCCTCACCACCCTCAGCGTAAAAAATCTCTTCCTTATATATAGTTGAAGTCTGGCCGCTTTTAGTTTAAAGCTGTTGCCCCTTGTCCTATTGCAACAGGCCCTGCTAAAAAGTTTGTCCCCGTCTTTCCTGTAGGCCCCCTTTAAGTACTGGAAAGGCTGCAATAAGCTCTCCTCAGAGCCTTCTCTTTTCCAGGCTGAACAACTCTGTCTCAGCCTGTCCCCAAAGGAGAGGTGCTCCAGCCCTCTGATTCTCTTTGTGGCCCTCCTCTGGACCCGCTCCAACAGGTTCATGTCTTTCCTCTGCTGAGGACACAGTGCTCCAGGTGGGGTCTCACGAGAGTGGAGTAGAGGGGCGGGATCACCTCCCTTGACCTGCTGGCCACGCTTCTTTAGATGCAGCCCAGGATACGGTTGGCTTTCTGGGCTGCAAGGGCACATTGGCAGCTCATGTTGAGCTTCTCATCAACCAACACCCTTGGGTCCTTCTCCTCAGGGCTGCTCTCAATCCGTTCTGTGCCAAGCCTGTATTTGTGCACGGGATTCCCCTGACCCACGTGCAGGACCTTGCGCTTGGCCTTGTTGAACTTCATCTGCAGTAATGTCTTCAATTTGAGGAACATAATTTCCTTTCTGAATCTCTAACCTCAAGTAATTATAAATTAATGTAAATATGCTTAGTAAGTGCCCTTTGCATGTTTATTTACAGTACTAAGGAAGCCTGAAATATCTTGAGAGCAAATGACAATGGGGTTTGAAAGAAAAAAAAAAAAAGAGGGAGATACATATGTATTTCTATAGAGAAAGGATGGGAACAACATTTTGAGATAAGCATTGTGATTGAAGTTTACCGCTTTTTGTTGGATAGAGTTTTAAGAAAGATAGCATGCACATTCTGGAGTGGGGTAAAAATTATGTTGCTTATTGGATGCCTTTTCTGTTTATGCATTTGTTGTTTCAGGCACATAAGAAACGTGTTAACTTAGAGTTGCTTAAGTGGGTTTCCTATGAAAGACAGAACTGAAGAGACTGGACAATTGCTTACAGCCCCTGCTGATGTCAGTTCATATGCCCTTGCTGTCCACACTTAATTGTACTGGCAGATTCCTTAGTTCTCCACCGCAGTCTCTTTCAAATCCGGCTTTTAACCACTCACAGTGCACATATTTGTCAGAAATACTTTATGTTTCAGGCTTTGGTAAATTGGCTATCCAGTTATTTGAGTCTTGTGAATGACACTGAGATGTCAAGATGAAAATATGATACTCTCAAGAACATATAGGTATTCTTTGAAAACTGAAAAGCCATTGACTTAGGGAGAGCCAAAACCACTGTGTTTGAACTCTGCCAACATCGTGATGCCCCTGATCTTTGATGGAATCTTTTTTTAGTGCTTCCAAGATTCGGATGCTCTAAATACAGATAGTTCTGTTGACTTATTCCCAGGGACTGAAAATTATACAAGTGGCAGGAAAAAAACCATCAAATGTAGAAGCTTAGACATTTCTGTTGGAAGCTGTGTATTGAAGTTCTAGTTGACTTCTGAACAGTGAAGTGGGAAGCGATTGAATGGTGTTCAAACTGATGTTACTGTTTTTAAAGAAGCTCAATTCAGTCTTAACTATGGATTTGCTACTAACAGCTTCACAATACCTTGTTTATTTTACGAAAACTTTGAAGTGCATGATTGCCCTTTGATTAATTCACAGTTCTTAGCTTGACTGTAAGAAAAAATCAGATAAGAGACCATGAGCTTGAAACTTGATTGGAATAGGTTTAGCTTTGTTGACTTGGTCAGGACACTAGATGTATGAGTTTGGAAACTCGTGTGGATAGACTGATATCCTAGATACTATTTTGGTTCCTCTAATCTCTTTTGCAGTTTTCTTTTCTTAAAGAAGTAAAGTTTTAAGCATATCAGATCTTATTATCCATAATTTTATCCTTTAATCTGAAATTGAAAGCACTTTTCTCTCTAGTACTTATTTTGAAATGTTTCATAGATCTTCAATTCAAAAAATTTCTGTAACCCTATAAAGGGATGCTGTCCGTACAAAGCTCACTTGTCAAGTTAATAGAACAGTATAGGAAATATTCTAGAACATAAATTTTAAATCTTTTATTTAAAGTTTGTGTTTATGTGTTCTTTTTTTTCCCTTCCACATTTGAGTTCTTCATCACTGCTTTTTCATTTACTGTGGTATAGTTCCCTTCATTTGGTAAACTTTCAGATATGACCATACTTTGAAAGACTAAAAAAGTTTTGGGTATTTTTTTTTCCTTCCCACCTTTATTAAAGACTTCCAACTGGAGAGTTGGAAATAAACACAGCAAAATACATTTGCAGCTGCGATACAACACTTGATGCATCTGTCTGGAAGAAAACTTTTTTCTTAATTGAAATGGACGAGTTGCTAAGTGAAGTTACAGCAACAGAGTTCATCATTGGGAATATGTAGTTTACAGACACTATTCATCAAACTGGAGATGGAAGAAATGCACAGACTAATTATTTTTTTCGTGCTTTAGTAATCATTCTAATAAATCACAAATTTGTAAGGGTTTTGTTTCCTCACTGCTAGTATTACTTTAATTTGTATAACTTTGAACAAATGGTCAGACTGTATATGCGGTAAGGGAACTGAATTTAATACTAAAGTTTATTTTGCTCTGGTGGAACTCAAGTAGTGTTTTGGAACTGTATTGCTTTCCAGCTAATCATAATACATTCAAAATATTTTGTATTTACTGTGTCTTCTCTTCCATCTGGAAAAAACTTCCCATTATGAAGTTACTTGAATCAGTATCTTTATCATTAATTTTTGTTCCTTGTTATTGGAACTTCTCAAATTTCCTGAAGTGGTGTGTGTTATGCTTACCACCTTCTTTCTTTCAAGAAAAGCTTCCTAGTATGTAAGTTTATTTCTATGACAACAAACTAAATTAGTTCTATGTCTTTTGAACCCATACCTTGTCCCTTGCCCGCTTCAGTCCATAAGGCACAAACAGTTGCACTGGCACGACTGAGAGCCTGGCACAATTAAAGGAACTGTGGATTGAAAAGGAGGAGTTGGGGTCACTTGATCCATGTTAGCTGCAGAATGAAATGCTTGTGAAATTGCACTATGACTACTTTTGTTAACAGTATAAATGTAGAAAACCCAGCAGAGTCTCAGTTTGGTTTCTCAGCATTCAATGTAGATAAAGAATTGTTAACCATAATTCTGCTTGATAGTCTTGATATATAACATATGGTATAGTCAATACTATATGCTTATTGTCTTGTGTGAAATTAAAATATGGGAGCTTGTTTACATGCATTATTAGGCCTTAGAGACTGCTGATGCTACCCCGTTAGCGCCAGTACAGGTGTTTGTGGCTGCCCAAGGTCACTTTTGAACTATATCAGAGTCCCTGTTGAGAACCACTCGATCTGACTTTTGAACTTGTTTGTTCAAATTTTAGCATACAAACTTACAGTGTTGCATTGAACAGAGATGGTATTTTAGGATGTTGTAATTTAACACAACCAAGCTGGAGATTGTTATCTTCCAGAAATTAAGAATTCCAGATGATTGGACGGAAAAACTTGTCCCTCTTTGAAAGGAACTCTTTGTATGAATGTTGGAATGAACACTTGGAACAATTGAATGAACTGTTTGTATTCTGATTGTTCCTTTTACTTTTCCTGGTTGGAACTGCCACTCCCAAGAATAGTGGTGGCGACTGCAGTACTCACATGCTTCCTCTTCAACTGCTCCATGAGAAAGAGAGGTATAAAACACAAGCCTAACGCATACTCTCCTGTTGTGTTCGTGAGAGGA